AATGAAGAATTTTTCTTTCATCACTTGTTTATTCTTCAAAATCCTGAAGATCAATGACAAGATAATCAAATGCATCAACATGATCTTGGATTTTTGAAAATCTTTCATCTTGAAGCACATCAGTTTCAAAAAGCCATAAAACCTATTGACAACTTTTTTTGATAAAATTGTAACTAAAAAGTCTCAAACAGCAAAAATTACTTGTCATGTTCATCCATTTGTTTCAGATGCAAAGATTGTGAATGCAATATGATAATACTCATAGTTTCATTTAAAGTTTTTTCAAATTGTTGTTGTTATAGATTGAAAGCTTTTGTTTACATCGTTTCTACTCTTTAACTTGACCTTGACTTTCTCTCCAAGAATTAATAATCATAATATTTATCGTATTTGATTAATCTCATATCTTGTTCTTTAAGAATTCATGGCTGCCATCTTATTCCGTTGAACACTTGAAGTTGTCTTTTGTATTTTTGAAAAAATAAGTAGTCTTAACCTCTACTTATCTATAAAAATTTTTTAAACTTCTTGATTTACTTGAGACTCTATAGTCAACCTTGTCAATAATTTGATTGAATTTTTTCCTGACTAAAAAAATAATTAGAGCAACTAATTGGAGAAGAGATTACAAATATACTATCAACAGATTTACAGGATGCACATACTCTATTTTTGTAGAAGATCATTGTCATCGCATGTAGAATTGCATGTACATCTTAATTGATGTACATGCAATTCAAATCTTTTAGACAATTATAGATATTACAGATTGATCAAAGGAGTGATCACGCTACTGCAATCTTAAGACTTAACATCTTTTGCACTAGATTTGTTTTAAAATTTTGAAACATGAAAAGATTCAACTGATTAGGATTTTCAACCGCCATCATCTAGCAAATTAAGGCTTTGAGTCATTAGATACAACGACTAGTATAATAATTTTAAGCAATCAAGAATGAGTATTATGATTTTGAATGTTGACTCCTTCCAATTTCACTTCATAGACTATCTTCATAATTAAAAAGGGCAACTGGGTTAGGAGTTTTAAGCAGTTGAGAATAAGGAGGATGATTTTGAGTTAACTTTTCTTGCGCCCGTTCGCTCTCACTCCCTTGTTTCTCTCTTTGTTATCAAATATTTTCACGCCGTTGCTGCTTCATTACGTGGTCTAAAGACTTGCAATTAGTCTTGCATTTGTGATGTTGAAACTTTCTCTCATTCTTCATATGCATGCATTTATCTCATTAGAATTTGATTGCTCAATTCATGTTGCAACCTAATTCCAACAAAAGAATTTTTTTCATTTTGTGTAGAAGGTTATTATACTTTTTTAAGTATGCAGATCTTATTTCAACGTGGTTGAAACAATTATTCTGTTCCATTCTTTGACTTCTCAATTTGAACTTTTTTTATTGTGATTGACTCGTCTTGAGTTTAGTCATTCAATTGTACTTTATGTTGCACGTGTTGTTTAGGCTTCAATTCTTTAAGAGAAAGAGTAGTACAAAGAAATCATGACTAATCATAATTACGACCGTGAGAAACAATTATGCATGAACAAAAGCTAGGTTGTAAGTATATGGACAAGTCAAAATTGTTTGTATCTAGAGAAGCAACAACGATGCCGTTTGACGTAACATTCACGTTTTGATCTCATTTCAAGATGAGAAATGCCAAAATGTGGTGATGAATCTACTTGACTGGAAATTTTTTCAACCCATGAGACAGAATGTTGCTTATGGCTTATGAAAATTTGTTTTTTGTCAAGTATACTCTACAAGCTTGAAAAACGTCAAGTATTTGTTTAGATTGATGAAATGATTCATTAATAGATTCTGCGATACACATTTTCTCCAAAGTGCGAGAAAAAACTAATCATGTTTGACATACAAATACCAAAATATTGAATTTTTGCTTCGACTCAAGTTGATAAACATTGATGTTTTTTAAGGTTGTGAATTGATTTATTCCTTATTCCCTAGACAAGTGACATGTTGATATAATGTCACAACACAAAGACAAAACGTTGCTGAAGATATTGATTTGCAACATTGTTTTATATTTTACTTTCTTTATGAAATTGATGATCATATAAAGTCCTTGAATTACTTTGCAATCACTTTGAATGTTATCATGTTATGTTATCTTGTATGACTACCTTGACCAAGTTAGACTACAAATTCTTTGATGTTTGCTTTGATATCAATTGCTAAATCAAGAGAAAATAAAAAATCCATGAATACAAAAACACACAACACACGCATATGTATACATACACAATACTAAATCCACATTTAAGTGATTTTCAAATCATGTATACGGAAGTAGCCTGACGGCTATTTTAGAAGAAGGAGTTTTTTTAATTGAAATCCACAATATATTGAACTCCAACTCTAGCTTGTTTATTCATATAAAATGAATAGTAAAAATTCCAAAAACAACTTTTACCTAATAAGAAGCTAACCAAATTCAACCTTAGATTTGAATTAGTGCTGTTTGATCATCTAGCATGTAAGGTTTTTTTCAATAGAATTTTTTTTACGTTTGATGGGACTAGATTATCAAAAAATTGGAAAAAAATTTAATTTACTCATATGGAAGAGAATAGATCCTTACTAGCAAATATTATTGAGGTTAAGATTGACTAAATTGGAATTAATAATGTGAAACAAGTAAAAATTCTAATATAAATAGAACAGATTTTTTAGAAGAAAAAAAAGAAGTAAATTATTGTTGATAAACAACAAATGACTACACAAAAAGTAAAGCTTTATCAAAATTGGATACTATGAAATCATCAATTTGGATTGATAGAGATCATAATATGTACAAAATATAGCACATAACAAGAAAAAAAAGCTTCAAAACAAGATTGATGATAAGTAATTTTACACCCAAAAAAATGTTAACAAACAAATTTCTTTCACTTGTAGCAAAGTATGCTATGTTTTGATTGATATGTGCATTAATTGTGATATGTGATCTACTTATAAATTAAATATATGTAATAAATCTAATAGTTGAAATAATTACATGGATTGAAGCCAGCTCCTATGCATTGAAATGAAAGATTAATAAAAGAATAATTATTTTCAAACTGTTTGTATGCTTCATGTGTATGCATGAAAAAGAATATCAAGTGTATACATGTGTGTTTAAAAAAATAGCAAATTTTTTAATTTTTGCATATCAATGTCCAATCGATGTAATTTTGAAAGAAAATGTCTTTAATTTTTATCCACAAATTTTATGTATTTGATGATATGTTTTAGACCTGATAATACTCTACCTATGATCAAGATGAACAAATACATGTTATCTATATGAAATATGCATTAAAAAGTTGTAAGTTTAATTCTAAGATACCTGAAAAACACTAAAAGTTATGATATTTCATTTGATGATTTATTAAAATATGCCAACTTTTTGCTATGCTACATATAAATTGACTATGGAAAACTATGAATGTATTGATACTTTATGATAGATGAATTAGTTGGAAATTTATTTTGCAAAATTGCATAGTTGGATCAAAAATGAAACTTATTATGTAGCGATAGCAGAAAATTTGATTGAATAAAGTTATTATTAGAATGAGATGGACAACATCATGTTTCAATGAGATTAAAACATGATGTTGTAAATCTTTATTATGATAGTTAAATTGCTTTACATCTTGCTGTAAATCAAATGATGCAGAATAAAAATAAACATATCAACATCAAATAATATTTCAGAAAAATGCAAGTTCTAATTAGAAATTTCAGCTAATCAAGATTAACGTTAAGCTAAATGTAACGTATGCATTAATTAGAGTTGTTACTTTATAGAGCTTTAAGAAAAAATTGCTACTTTTTAGATGTTGCATGAAGTACACATTTAGATTTACTAGCAATTTATTGAAAAATATGTGCATGTGAAAAATATTTTTTACACCTTATTCAACATATATCTCCAAGGTAACTAAATCAAAATAAATATCTAAAAGAAATTTAATGTCCAATGATATTGCTTCACAAATTGCAAATGGGCGTGAACAAAGATGTTGTTGTGAAATATGAGTATGTAACATCATCTCTATATATTAACAAATAGTAGTAAGGTATCTGCAATAGCAATAAATGCTTTGTATTCAAATATTGTTTCATCATGAAAAGCCAACTTATACATGACATCTCATCTTATTGACTAACAATAAGACCTTTGACTTGCAATTGATGTAAAAAGTTTAAAAATTATTTAAAATCATTGTAAAGATCATCATGTATAAAATCAATCTATAATTGTAGATCATATTTCTCAACAAGTGTTGAGAAATATGATCTACAAGGTAGCATAAAGCTAACAACATTTTTCACTTAAATAATTTTTCATTTTCCACTTAAATTTTCTCAATTATAATAAAATTATACACTTTACAAACATATGATTACTCTAAATGTATAATCATACTTATTACAAGTTTTTCAACTGAAAGATTATATTATTATCTTCACAAACTTTCAACTAATTAGAATGGATATATAGAGAGGAAAAATTTACTCATTTCAAAAAATTCAACTATATTCAATATTATCGTAGCTAGATTATGAAAAGAAGGTAAAAGAAAATCTTACTTATGTTAAACTGAATGATATTAACCAAATTCAAGTTAAATTTTCGTTTGATAGATTAAGTGTAAAATGAGCAAGTCGATGACATTTGTGAGAGTATTGCCAACAAAGATAGTTACAATATGCCGTGTTTTCACTATCACCAGTATGTGTAAAACTGTGTAGGGTATATGTGTGTAATTTTCTGTATCTTCTTGATTGGTTTTTCAATCTTCGAGCTTCTCCTTGTTTCGTTGTTGTTGATTGCGATATTCTTTCGTATTCATAGAAATTTTCTTAATTGTAACTCTTCCATCCAGAAAAATAGAGACAATGGGACAAAGATGATGATAAGGTAATAGCATTTTTCACGGTTCAAACATCTTTCGTATAGAACGTACAATGTTCCGTAATTCTGTTTATTCACAATTATGTTCTCCACTCTGAATATAGCCATGCTCAATGCAATGTGAATGTATAACTAAACCGGGAAAGTGTCTGCCTGGAAAAAACATCTCTGTTTCTCTGAGAGATTTTATCTTCCAGCCTCACATCCACCCTGCCAAGCTTGTCTTGTCCTTGTCATGTCCACATTTCCCCATCTCACCAGATGAACGTCCATCCGAAACTATCTGCATTATCATCAGCAAGGTGTGGCTACCTTCACCCGTAGTAACAATCCTTCGTACTTCCGCAAAGGGAATCTGGTCCTCGTCAACAGTGTTGGATGTCATAGCTCTCCGGTGGCCGAACTTCCTATTTTGGATTGTGTTTGATTGTAAACTACGGAGAAATACCTTCTTAATACTCTATAAAACGTGCTTCAATTCATGGGGACTGCGTAGCTGATAGTTGCGTCCATCTTCAAGAATTCTGGTCTGCCACTAGATTCAGCCAGAATTTACAGCTCAATATACACGAGCTCGCGTAGGCCGACACGATACACGAGCATTGCTAGTGACGAACACCGAAAGCTTCGAGCTCTACGATGGCAGTATCTGTGTCTCCCCGGGTAAATGTCGGCGGGCCTAACTCTCAAAATGCGCAAAATTGCGTCCTGTGATTAGGGGGCCAACTTGAATTACGCTCCTGATCGCGTGAGGAAGGCTCTGTACACTCGTCGGGCAACAACCCGATATTTACTCTTTTCATCAGCGAAGCAAAAATCCAATATTAATCAGTCCTTCCATAATTCGGAGCGCCTTTGAATTTTTCGAGCTTTTTTCAACACGACTTCAAGTTTTGCTGTTCCTCGCACTGTCACCTTTTGCTTCTCAACATCACAATCCACACCCACTACGCCTGCACATCATTGACTTCATACAGTTAGACTTCTTAGCACTCTGTAGATCTACACTTCTAATACCAAAGAGCCCAAAAAAGACTCGCTTCTAAGAGATCGTAGTTCAACTGACGTGACTCCTCTATACTTCTTGCATTGCTCCTCCTGAACGTCTATTTCGTATAGGTCTGTTTTTATGGGCAGACAGGGACTACGTTCTCTATACATGTTGTATGAACTACATCAGACGATATCCAGTACCTTGAGCATACCTTCCATGAGAATAAGCTTCTTTTCCATTTTCTCAACGCAACCTTCGCAGCAGATTGGAACTTTCAGCTCGATCACTTCTTCCTTGGGTTCTTCCTTTACCTCTTCCTTCGCTGCCTCCTTCACTTCCTGATGAGAATAAGACGTTTTCAGTACGCGAGGATCGATCGTCGGTAAGTCAATAATCGCAGGGTTGAAATACATGAGCATTGTTCAATTGACACTTGTCTCTTTCAAATTTTCGGTACAACATCCTGTACAACAAATTTCTCCTTCCAGATGACGACAGTACCTTCTGGGCTTCGGGAGGACTAACTGCTTCCGGGGTTTCTTCGGCGGCGGCGGCGGCTGCTGCTTCTGCTGCAGCTGCTACTGCCGTTGCAACGACCGCTGTGCTGTACTTGTCCGAGAAGAGCTGCGTTCGACATCAACAAACGTATCCTCGCAGGTTAGGAAAAATATTCACCATATAGACAGCTAAAATCGAAAGAACTTGCAGAAGCCTGATCTGTAATAAGTTCAGGCCCGAGAATGATCGGCAGGGTAAGATATACCTCGTCAAGAGAGATCGCCATCACAAACTGGATGAGTACGCTTAGCGCTTCAGGAAGGTCTGAGCCCCAATTCTACGATCACTGCTCGAATTTCGCACGCCTACTACTTCGTGAAAGCAATTCGCTTGCGGGCGATATACAAATTAGAGTGTGAAAAAAAAGGCACCTCGTTGATGATTCTCCGACCTTGGCTATTGAGTAACAGGAGGCAAGCAGTTTCCAGCACAGAGAATTTGAAGTTTCCACGAAAACTTATGGGTGCCGACACGTCCAAAACCGTGTGTTCCGATTGCGCAGAATCAGAGTATCCAGCGCCGACAAGAGCTTCCAGAGGTATCGGACGAAACGAAAATAGCTCACTGTGTTGTCGATATGACCAGTAAGAGCTGACCACTTGTCACGAATTTGCGTCCAACTTGGGCCTCACTTTCGATGAGAGGCGGCACTGACCCAGTAAGATGCTCAAATCTCCGTCTTGAATGGAAAAGAGAACCGGATGGCCTTTAAGTACAAGAAAACACTTCCAGTGGCTCCGAGAAAATTCTAGAGTTGGGGAATTCAGCTGAAGGGATCGAATACAAAAATGTTCCCCATCTGCAAAGTCCTAAAAGGAGACGAAGATTCTTCGTGGCAACAATCCGTTGGACTGAAGTCCCACGAGAACACGCAACCACGCACTGTACGTGGTTGCTTTCGGTGCAACAGAGCTCACGAAGTACAGCATAGAGAGGGTAGATTATTATAATCCTATCAGGGTCACGAATCAGAATACGCCACGTGCATCCCGGAGCCGACCATAATCACTGCACTCCTCGCTGGCCTCTGCCTTCGTCCACAGGTAATACACCGTCCCAAATCACTAACGGTTATTCCTGACATCGTAAGATCTTTATCTGTTACACTATCCACGTGTCGCAGCTTTAGAACGGCCACTTGCCAGCTAATGTATGATCACCTTGAAATTTGACGCTAATCACAAACTCCTAGCGCGGTATGTGTTAGTAATAAAGATGAAAAGTCGTTGTAATACTCCGAGATCTTTTCGAGATCTCTCATTGGTTCCCGAGGCTATAGAATCTATGTCTTCTGGGCCTCTGTGAGGACAATTACCGGAAGGTTATGAAGGTTATTGGTACCTTCTAGATGAATCAGAAGCGTATATGTGAATCATTATTACACTGCATCATGTGAATCATTATGGTTGTGGGCTGACGGAATACGGTCGTCGTCATGACGGTCTCTCCTTTGTCACCGTCGCGTCAAAAAATCACCCGTCCGCGCAACTGTTGATATTCAAATTCGATACATGGAAACCCGGGTGACGGTGACAAACGAATGGTGTACGTACACCGTCCGCCCGCACAGCATATAGTCGTGGTTAATCTAGCCAAAAGCATTACTACGAGCAGTGAATTTGACACTTTTGGTCGGTACAAATCCGTTTGACCGACTTTTCTGCTTGGTCAGGATAATGCAGAAGTATTATAGTACGCTATCATCAACCGCCCTTCAGCTCGCTGATTAGTAACTGAAAGCTCCATGAAGTTTTGCCATCTGCGAAAACAGTTTTCTTCTGTGAACAGGCAGGAGGCCAAGCACCGCCCTTTATATGACATCCATGGAACCCATTTGCTTCAGGCAACTTCTGATTCTGTACTTCAATTGACAGCCCCTCATCGCAGGAATTTTTGGGTTCGCGCACCCCATGGCAATGCCTCACCAGTTGCTGGATCATGAGGAGGGAAAAAACCTTTAATTAGATTCTGTACATTCCCGAACTTAGGATTGTTAAGTTTTGTCCTTATATAGATTCCCTAGCGAGGAAAAATCACGAGCTCTCTCATCTGCAATGGGCGAATGGCGGGAGTCCAGGAAGTTAATCTCCAAGAAATTCGAGCTTGAAGTTAATTAACATAGAGGGTCAGCGAAAACACAAGCTATCTGTGGAGCTGACTGGACCGATATGGGCTCTGGAGAAGCAGTTAGCGTCTCTTGCAAAGACTGATATTCCTCGATTCAATCGACCCTATACTTACCGAGATGCTTACGGAATGTCGTTCCAAAAGGAGCAGCAGTTTCTGGTGTTAAATTCTGGGAAAAAAGGGTTTCTGGACGTGATGACTTCATTTCTGAGTAGAGAGACAACGCAGAGAACTTTTCAGCACTTCTCATCTGATCATCACATGAATCTTTCAATAAAAAGTAGGCTTAAGTACGTCGAACGATCTAAAACATTCGGACGAGGAGCTTGCGGACTGATGAAATGATTCAGCAGTCTATAATCATAAATTCCTCAGATGTTAAATTGCTGCCGCACAGTTAATGCACGAAAACCAATCTGTGCTTGGGGATTCCTACAACCAGACGGAACTGATTGCGCCCAGAGGATCAGTAGTTTAAGACGACGTACGTTTAGTGTTTCCGACAGATCATAGGGTAGTTGATATTTCATCTCGATCGTCTGCTCAAACCGTGAATCGCAAACATCTGTATCTTCTCGAAGTTCTTATAAGTTGCGGTTTAACCACTCTATGATCTGTCGGAAACGCTAAACGTACAACTTCAACGATGTGGATCGCAAACACGGTCCATCTAGATTCTGTCCGAAAGGAAATCGCGGGATGGATCTGGTTATAAGAATTTCGAGGAGACCCGTGTTAATTCTACATTACTAACCGCACCCGCGCACAGAGATAGTTCTGCGAAGCTTGAATATGCTCTCCTCGTACTCAGGTTCGGTGAACTCCTCGGTAAACAATTCGTATATCAAACCTTGAGAATAATTCGTCCATTTCGAGTCGAATAGAAAAAGATGAAGGTTTTAGTTCAATGGGGAAGGTGTGAGCCGAACCTTCCCACCCTTCAGCGTTTGTAGTCCAGGTGGGGGTTCGAACTCCCATAATCTAACTTCTCTGATCACAAGCCATGTTCTCACAGCGCATTCAATACAATGAGATGATAAACACTTGCTCTTCCATAGACAAATTGCCCAAAACTGAAACTAACACCTGCTGCCTACTATTTCCACAAGAGCATCAGGCAAGCTCTTTGTTACATAAAGATCTAACCCAACTCTAGGTGACTTCCTCAATACTACAGCCGCTGTGGGCTTTCCTAGATCCCAGTCCCAATTCCTACTAAGATTTCAGCATCGATTTCTCAGCTTCCACCTTCAGAGCCCACCAGATTACTCTCTCAGATTCAACTCTCCCTTTCCAGTTTCAAATTCAGATTCCGACTGTCAGATTTCAGTCTGAGATTTCACTTCACTCTCAGCTCCCATTCTCAGATCTTCCACTCTGATTTCAGCTCCCACTCACAGATTTTACACTTCAATCTCAGATCCAATTTAATTTCACTCTCTTATACGACTCTCCACCCACGAGAGTTTGCTTCCTCCTACTTTGAACTCTCCACACTCCCCTCCTAATTCTCACCACTTCCCTGCGAAAAATCACTCACACCCACACCCTATTCCTCATACTGATCCCACCTTCGATTTCCACACCCTGGCACACCACCAGCTCTCAGCTCCCAGGCCGAGCACACCACTTCCATCTCCACACACGCACACCACCAGCTCTCCGTTCCCAGGCCGAACTCCCCACTTCGAAGTCCAAGGCCGAAACACACACAGCTCGCCTAAATGCCCCACTCGCAATGATGGGTAGCTGCCTGCTCCCCCTGCGCGACTTCACGCCGCCGCCGCCACCACACTTGTACATTCTACATTCCTGACCATCAGATCTCCGCCGGAGGGAATTTTCTTCCGCGCACTGCCGAAGGCATCCACCCGCCGAAGACGCACGACCGCACCTTTGCCTATCTATAACAGTCACTCCCGACACCCATAACTCAGGGATACTTGCTTCGTTTCAAGAGTTCTTAGGCTCGTTGGAACGAGCAGGTTGAGTTCTTTCCAACGAGACCCTAACTAAGTCAACCCGTTACGAATTGCGAAAGTTATGCCGGTTTTACCCTTCGTCGAAGGCACACCGCCGAAGGCCTGTTATCTGTTATCGCCGAAGGCGCCCGCACGATGTTTGCCGGTTCGATGTCTTCCGGTTCGATGTCTTCCGGTTTGATATCCTCCGGTTCGATGTTGTCCTACCCTATCTGCCGCTTTCGACGCTCATAACTCAGTGACGCCTTATCCGTTTGAAAAGTTCTTGGTTTCGTTGGAACGAGCGTCGCGAGCTCTTTCCATCGAGACCCTAATCAAGTCAAATCGTTAACAAATGAAAAAGATATGCCGATTTTACTGTTTCGCCGATGGCCCTTCCCCGAAGGCACTTCGCCGGAGACCCTGCCCTGAAGGCCCCCTTCCGCACCTTTGTCTACTAACTATTACACCAACTCCTAATCTTGCCAAAACTTCCAGAAAACTCCAAGCATTATTTTGCAAGAGCTTACATCCAAAATTTTAACTCTCATAAGGGTAAAAAGACATGTGAGCACAGTTTTGTGCTCACAGAAGTATGAAGGTTTTATTATCATGTGATCATTTCGTAATTTGTGCTCACTGGCACATGCATTTTTTATACTTCGAATAGTTGGCTCAATAGCTTTGGATTCTACATAGAGATATTACAAAAAAATTATTTTTTTTCACTGACACTTACTATAGTACGAAAATGAAGGTGTTTGAATCAGAATTTATGAGTATTTAGCACCTCTCATGTAAAGCTGTGTTTTATATATGAAGTCATATCATGTTTATTTATTGTTCGTAGTATCCTTTAGTTCTAGTTATCAGTTCTAGTGTAATCCAGAATCAGTTTAGATTGTATTTCTTCATGAAGTTTAATAGTTGACCCAAGATCGCATAGAGCATGGTTTTTGTTTATCTTATTTATAAAGTGATGTATACACTTACATGGGCGTGTTTGTTGTAGAAGGCTAATAGTTTGTCTTCAATTGATGTTGATAATGCTACATGTTTAAGGAGTTTAATTCCAAGAATGATCGGTTCTAAACTTTCTAGATATAAGTCAGTTTATTGTTTATCTAGAAACTTGGATTGAAATCCATTGCATGAGGAATCTTGACAATAAATAAATTAAGAGGCCATTCAGCCACAAGACACTTCAAATTACTTCTAATTGCAGAATTATAAAATCTTGGAGCAAGTTGGAGAGATAAATTAGTGACACTTCAAATTAGTTGTAATTGCAAAATTATAAAATCTTGTAGCAAGTTGGAAAGTTAACTTAGTCTCGTGCATCCTTTAATATGTGTGTATTGCTACGGGTACTAAACACCTTTTGCATTTTGAATTTTATCCATCCATCTATATGTAAAGTAGTAACTTTGAGAATTTTGAAATCTTGGCCGGGTGAAAAGTTTCATATTTTTCTACGAGCTTTAGGCTCATTCATATTCATGAATCCATGATTATACATAAGTATATATTAACATATCTTGAAATCATTTTTTATAGTGGAAACTACAATCACACTACCATGTTAGAGATTGTTTACAAAATATGAGTAAGGATGATCCCATCATCTTAGAGATTGCATTCAATCAGATGATTGAATGCAATCTTTGCAGCAGTTGAATCTATT